CTATTACTAAACGTAATTCAGAAGTATGGTTTCTATTACTAAACGTAATTCAGAAGTATGGTTTCTATTACTAAACGTAATTCAGAAGTATGGTTCCTATTACTAAACGTAAACTACTAAGATTATATAAAATTAATTGCTTTCGTTATTAAATCTTTACCAGCTGGTTAAGAGTCGTGTATTGTTTCGAAGTAAATATAGCTAAAACTTATTCGTTCATGGATTTTTTTTATGGGCACTTTTTTACTATTTCATATTGAAGTTGTGTTTGAGGCTACATCTGGTTTTACTGCTAAACTCAGCAGTTAAGTCTTGATCATCCGAAGAAAGAATATAAATACGTGTATCTAAACAGAAACTTCATGCCTTTCTTCCACACCTAGACAAAAATTATAACATTCTCTTGGATTGTATTATTTACCAAATTATGTAGCTAGGCTGATGTGTCGCGAAATTACAGTACTCAAGTAATCGTGGTATGAGATGTATCATTAAATGAGTAAAGATATTTCGTATTACAAACCATAAAAATATCCAATACTAAACTTTCATAAAGTAATTGTGTTCTTTTAACCAGCTGTATATTACACGAAGTTTAAATATAATTAAGTATTATTTACCTGAAAGGGGGCCGAAGGCCGTCTGGAGGAGTCACCCGTTTTAACTACTCGCACCACTATACAGTAGTATGTCGTCTGTCAGTTAGTCAGTCAGTAGACACTAAAATGACGTCACATAAAGGACGCTTAATGTTATAATTTGTATTGTCGTGACGTCAGTAAAACGGGTGTATGTCACAAATCACAAGAATAATTATGTACTCTGTAGGCTACAACACAGCATGATATATGAACATAGAAAGTGAGAAATATAATATTTGTTACTCTTCGGGCACCCTTCGAGAGTACGTCTAGTTTTATTTTCTAATTAACCGAAATCCCACAAATAACATTTCAAGTAGACTAAACACGGTCTAATAAATGCTTAATCACTGATATAAGTAATCATGATTTCATGCTCTTAACGAGATTTTATGATTTTTTCATTCACATGTGTCTTACAAGGCCTCTTATACTTCCTCATAAAGACAGTATACAGTATTTGTTAAGATAAACATAATTTCTTATACTGACTGTCCCTACTTTATCTATAGCTGCAAGCCTCTTGTTGAAAGAACGTCAAGGTCAAGAACCCGGCCACAAACCGAGGGAACTGCTTTATCAGGAATCTCTCTTAGAAGGCAACATGATTTTACAGGTAAGAAAGAGGCTATTTATCAGACAAATATTTATGGCTAGCAGTATATAAAAGGATTTTCAGGTAGAAGAGCAGACTCGATTCTTAGACAGGTTTTTTTACGAACAAGAGATTTTCTGGGTCATATTATTCTATTTGCATTAAAAGTTTTGATTTATGACTCAAGTTGAGGTCATGAATAGGGCAATCTAAGTACTTAAGTCATTCACTTTTTAATCCTCCAGTTAGTCAAATTGTTAAAAACAGAAGGTTGTTTGAAATCATAAACTATCGCTCTCAAGTATAGATAAATAGAAACATGTTAGTTTTGAAATTTATATTTTTGGTTTATCTCTTCTTCGTAGAAAGTATCTTTATGATCCCCCCCTACAACCCCCACAAATCCTCTCTAGAAATAACCTGAAATATTTCTGTCGAATATATCTTAGCTAAAAATACATTTAAATAATTATTTTAGAAACGTCAATGAATTATAATCTAAAATAATCTGAGCAATCTGACATTGTTGAGAAGCTGTATTAAGATGGTCCATCAGAGGGTCAGCGGTAAGTTTACAGAAGAACAACGCTCAAATTCCAGGGTTCGATTCCCGTTGTGGATAGAGAGCTGAGAGTCGAATATGTGGCTTTGCGTAAAAACAAACGAAAAAGGATCAAGGTGATTGTGTGGAAAGCAATGAAGTTATATTCATACTGGACAGAAACATTGTCCATATTGACCTATCACATACTCTGGTGGGTTTCCAGACATTTTGTGAGTGTCAATATAAAGTTAATACAGATGTTGAACTTTTTCAGTCCGACTGCCCGTGATGAAAATTGGAGCTTTCTTGAAAGATAACAAGCATCCTGACATCTGTCATTTCCTAATGATAGTTTGTATTATTCCTGTTTTGGTAATCACTGTACTTTATTTCGTGATTGAAAATGTGGAAATGACGTTTTACTTGACTTTTAATGTTGCATGACTGTTATTTTTTCAGATTAATGAAACGAAAACATAATCGTTTGTTTGTTTGTTTTTAATTATGCACAAATCTACAACCGGTTTCCAGCGTTGGAAGTCCGCTGTGCCACTGAGGGGCAAATATGATCGACAAATTTATAAAATAGTTAGAAAAAAATCCATTTACTTCGCAAACAATTTATATTAATTTTCGCGTACTATTTGTATCGTGAGAAAAACGGTTGTTGTTGTTTTTTGTTTTCTTTTAAGTAGAGAGTATTGATGTGTTCTTGCGGTTCAAATGACCAACGGACATTATTTTATTATAATATCTTCCAACAAAATAAAATCTGTATTATGGACACCATAAAACGTGGTGTCTGCGGTTGATTGCTACCAGGAACTCAGTTCAGGGAAGTGTAAACCTGAAAGAAATTCATTAGGGTTTGGATACAGCGAGTACAGCCAGATGCTTCTCTCTCTTGTGGAATCAAATGTAGGATTTCAAGTTTTCTATAATACAGTCAGTCTTTGGAAATGTTTTGTGTAATGCTTTTTGTTCGTGTGATCTTCCAAGTGTTCAGTGGGGTTCAGGTCTACTGCTTATGGTAGACGTTACTGCATAGTTAGAAGACTCTTTTTTCCTCCTCCTTCATCAAGTAATGGCTTCAGACCTAGAATGTTTTTTAATGGGGATTTCCATCAAAACGTTAAAAACTAAAACCCGAGAATGTATTGTCTTAACGTGCTAATTATACTAAAGACGCGAAGACCTTTTTACAGACCCACTTTCTTCCATATAAAAAAAAAAATCGAGATTCGGCCTAAAGATCTTTTTTTATATTTACAACTAGCCGTTGAAATATCATTACGCATAGGTGGATTAAAAATTTGTAAGATCTTAAGAGCGGTAATATATCATTGTGCAAGAAGCGTTATAAACTAATTTAAAGTTTTAGAAATATAAAGTCAAAACGTTGTAAAGGTTCTAAATTCTCACCATGTTGGGGGAGGGAGGGTACCTAGAAAAATCACGTTTTTTGGGGGAAACTGCATAAAGTTGAAGGAATGTCTACTATTATAATGGGGGAAAATCATATATTTAAGTATTACACAAGTAAATATAATAATTTTCCCTGTATGGAGATGTGTCAGCTGAATCATCTGTCACATTGATTCAATTCAAAACTTGTTTAATTTGTTTATTTCATACTGTAGAACAATTAGAAAAACTTTGTGAATTTATCACGGGCGTAAATGTCCTCTTCAAACCGTCTAATGTAGATTGTCTCATTAACTAAACTACTGTAGCCCGGAGTTCGAATCGAACTTCAAGTTTCTCTACCATAAAGGTCGCACTGGTTCAGTTCATTGTTTAAAGTCTGTGAGGATTGCTGTAGATATTAATTAATTCTTTATTTTGTTTTTTTTTCTTAAATTTATATCTGCTTAGTAAATAAGTAAACTTTTGTCTAAACCTCTTATTTTGTTAAAACGCAAGTTGGTATTCATTGAAAATATAAAAATAAAATGGAATATATATAATCAAACACCTAAAGATAAAAGGGAATATATATAATCAAACACCTAAAGATAAAAGGGAATATATATAATCAAACACCTAAAGATAAAAGGGAATATATATAATCAAACACCTAAAGATAAAAGGGAATATATATAATCAAACACCTAAAGATAAAAGGGAATATATATATAATCAAATACCTAAAGATAAAAGGGAATATATATAATCAAACACCACCACTACGTAATTCAGCAACATCTTCCCTCTATTTATATTATTGATTACCGATTTGAATATGAAATTAAAGTGGTCATTTAAAAATTAAACTGACACGTGTGTAATAAAGGTTTTCTTAATTACATCATTAGGTTCAACCATTGGGGTGTCTGCCATATTCTATGAGTTACTTTAACAATAAATTTAAATGTTCTAATTTAGAACACTTAATTTTAAAGACTTAAAGAAATAAGTACCTAGAGAAAACGTTAAAGGGAGCGAGAATCTGTTGGTGGTGGCGTTCAAATGAAATTTAAAAACAACTGAGTTGAAAACTCAAATGTTTCTTATAATATATAATAGCTGTGAACGAGGTACCATTTTACTATTTTACGTGATCAATCAGATTCGTAATTCTTCAGGAATTATGTTACTAATGACTGAACGAGGGTTGTACTAGGTCAACACGCAATTGACTCCAGTGTGTAACTTTGCAAAATATAGTTATGCAAACATAAAAAAAAACAGCTAAGTTTAAAGTTCACAACAGTGTTATCTCAACATTTTACCGATTTCGAACTTACAGCAAAATAAAAATAATAGTATGAGGAAATAATTCTGTGACAAACTCTGAACCCAAATACAAACATTGTACTATCTGCATATCCAGAACATGAAATCTATACGTTTGTGTGTGTGTATATATTATATCATGTATGAATGTAATGTATTACTCCGTCTTTAGAAACAATGTAAACGTAGAATTTTAACCTTCTATCAAGAAACACGTATGACACACAGAAAATGAATATTGCTTTCAAAATACAATAATATTAGATGTCGTGTATTTAGTGACATATGTACAGGTTTCTTCGAGGTATGTTCATAATGGAGATTGTTCTAAGAAAATATGATCGTTAAATGTACTCACTTACATCTAGAAACACTACCATCTGGAAAATAGAAAAGCATTGTCTGGGAATTCATAGTGTTTATGCTTTAAAAGGATGTTTCGGGTGAAGTTGTACTGAACAAAGAAAACGCCAGCGAGTAAGGTGCGCATTTCCTACTCCTGCCACGTGTGTGTACTCGATGCAATCTTAAGTCGCGTGACTCAATTTCACTCTTTGGCCAATATTTATATAACCTTTTTAGTTCTGTGGACCATGAGTCTTTGTGTACTCTATATGCATTTGTTCTTTTTTTAACATAAAGAACTTTGGTTCTTTTTTTTTTTCAATCGGAGCACACAACGTTCTTTGAGTCGTGAAGATTTACTCAATACGTTTTGCCATTTAACAAAAAAATAATTTGCTCCGTCTTCTGGAAGAAGAAGAATTGACCAGGGGCTTCTGCTTTGAATCGAGCCGATTTTTATGAGGTTGGACCTAGCCCTATTTAATAAAGGTAACTATATATAAGGTCGGCTTATAGAATGCCTGTGGCGTAGCGGGACTTAACCAACAACGATCCGGTCTCTTTGTATAGCACAACGGTAATTGTTCAGATAGATGGACCGATGCCGATATCCACGCCGCGGCGGCTGCCGCAGCTACTGCCCTGCCCCTTCTGACATTGCTAATCTTCTAATATTTTCTTCTGTGGAAAGTTGTTTTCGCAGAATGCTCAGAGTCTTCACATGACAAAACCAATCCAATGGAATGCTATAATTAATAGCCTGGTAATAATGAAAAGGCTACTAACTAACTCAGTATGGATTATAATTTGTCTTACATGCGTCCGGCTGTCTCATCTGCCCCTAAGGCTGGTGCCATTTATTTCTACAGAGGCTGTTTGTGTGTTTGCAACTAATAAAAAGTTCAGAAAATTGAGGATCAGTCTTTGGGTTTCCATCCAATTATATCAGCTCACAGTGACAATTCTCTTGTACAGCTTTCTATTCAATGATGTCTTAGGTTCACCAATAGGATTACAAATTTCAAAACTTTGCGTGACCAAAAAACTCTGCTTATATATATATATATCTTATTTTAAATACTGTTTATACATCGCTATAGCTCGGTAAACTTTTCATCTTATGCCATGAAATGCGTACTTTAAAGGGTTAGCTTGGCGTGCGAGAGGAGATACTATATTTAATTTAATCCTGCGACACTTGCTGATTCGATTAAACTATATTAAAAGTTTCCTAAACACCAGAAACACGTTTTATATTAATTCATTTAAATTTATTCTAATCTAGAAAAGACGTTTTACGGCTCTTTTAATTTTCGGTGCAAGAATATAGGAATATCCCGTAATAACGATAACAGAAAAGTAACACTTGGAGGAAGATTTTTGTTGCAATTTCTCA